CAAAAATGTACACATTGTGGCAAAGCATCATGGCCATGCTGGCCTGGAGACAACACTGGACCATTGGTTTCAATGAATTGGGAAACCCTATCAAAAATGTACACATTGTGGCAAAGCATCATGGCCATGCTGGTCTGGAGAGAACACTGGATCATTGGTTTCAATGAATTGGGAAACCCTATCAAAAATGTACACATTGTGGCAAAGCATCATGGCCATGCTGGTCTGGAGAGAACACTGGATCATTGGTTTCAATGAATTGGGAAACCCTATCAAAAATGTACACATTGTGGCAAAGCATCATGGCCATGCTGGTCTGGAGAGAACACTGGATCATTGGTTTCAATGGATCGGGGAAACCCTATCAGACAATGTACACATTCACAATAAAATACGAGGACTTTGTTCATTCACAGAGTTTACAGTTGTAATGGAGATTACAGCTGAACTTTGTAATGAGAGGAGTTCAACACTGATGTCTGTTTACCATGAAGCACAAGATGACCAACTCTGGCTCTATTTAATGACATTTAACTTAACAGAAATCAACATGTTCCCATACAGCAAAACTTTGTATTCAAGACATGCTTCAAAGAGAGACACAGTGACACACACAACTGATCCATATTGATGAGTGTATTATCATGAGATAGGGGATGTATTTGAGAGTTGCAACACTGTTTACATTAAAATATGCTTATTGATAATTGAATCATGAATCAAAGAGCATTCCAATTAAATAAGAGTCATCTATTTGCCCTTTCTGAAAACTTTCAATAGTATTTAATTTCAGTGCAACTCAAACTATTAGTTTTATTGTAAATTAACAGGTTACACGCTTTAATTTACCAGACTTAATTTATTTGTAAAATAGTGAAATAAAACTAAGGCCAGGAAAAAAAAATATCTGTTTCTCGTTTCATGGAATTTTTTTTTAATACTCAGCTAAAATGGGAGAAATTTGAGACAAGTGCGAGTAAAAGCGCATTTTGGAATGCTTTAGAAGAAAAAAAAACGTTTGAGGTGCATAGTTCAAAATGATACGCATGGAAACGAGAAACAGAGATTTTTTTTTTTCTCAGCCTGAATGAATAATTATATGTAACTTTCCACATACTAGTATTGTAGTAACACTAATTTTATTAACATATCCAAAACAGTTATTTAATGAAAATAAAACAATATAGGGACAAAAATATAGATGTCACTGTGAACACCAGACCATGCACAATAAAATTAAAAATAGACAAACTTAAAAAGAATGAGAATGAATGAATGAGTGTCACCAAAACCTTGTAATTTTATAATTTATAAAGGTCAACATTGGTGATTCATTTGTCAGTTAGATGAAATATACATGATATACGATGTGATCTTCCCAGACCACAGGTAAATCCTTCATCTACACCCACGCGTACAGGAAGTCTGATATGACCATGACCTCCCATACATTTTTTTCACACTCAGCAGTTTTTTAAAAAAAAAAAAAAACAATCTGCCAATTGATTGACCGGTTCACAATGAAATTACGACAATTAAATCAAATTAGAAAAGACAATTGGAACATTGAGGTTCGTTTGAATAATAAACGACCAGGCATTGTTTTTTTTGTTTTGTATATCATATGGTTGACATGCTCTCCGGCAATCCGGTTCCACAATAGCAGGACTGTCATTATGTTTACTTTGTGGAAGAAATTTGAGCGCTCACTAAACATCGAACATTGCGAATTAATTGATAGAACCAGACGTATGCGGATTCCGTGAAAATCTACTCGATGCGACTGTGATTCCGGCCAAGAAAGACTATGAAGCCGTATAACTGAACGGATTTGCCGATCATATCATCATATTCACAGCTTGTCCCGAGCACAACAGTGATTGAAGTGACGATGTCACACAGAACCCGACAACTATTACCGGAATGATGAATTAAAGAAACAATTACGGACATCGGAATGTTCCTGTCGAAAAGGACAAAGAGGACATAAATATGTCCAATTTGACGACATCAGAGGCCAGTTCGGACAAACTGGCATTATCATTCTGGGTCCGTCGAATGACTCAGACAACGGCAAAACTATCAAATCAATGGCTGATTTAAAAATTGCGCTACTCACCCACAAAAAACACATCACAGTTTCCCGGCAAACGCCCTGATCACCCCGAAAATCGGCAGACGGTTTCTTTAAAGGCCACTTTTACGTTTGGTTCCGTGATTCCTTGAAAAATAGCAGCACATACAGCGAATTACTACCAAAATTTCCCTACGACATTATCAGTATGAACTCTATGCCTATCGGTGGCCTTCAATCTTATTTCACTCAAATTGGTCACGTGATTTGTTGACCTCACACGCTTCGGGTCTTCCGAACATTCCCGATGTACAGGTAACGGCTTCGGGTAAACGTTTCCCGTACTGGATTTGTGTTTGGTGGCAGTCTTTCAAATCAACTCTCGTGCACAAACAATATAATAATAAAATCCTGGTCACTAAATTTAAGAAGGGGTGGGGAATATATTGTACGTGAAGAAAAAAGTTCGACCCAGTCTGTATTAAAAGTAAACAAAACATCCGGAAGCGAAGTTAGAAAAACAATATCTGATACCGTGACGAGGATTAGAGAGCAAGAATGACTGCCAAGTCGCCCGAGATTATATAACAGGAGAAAGACCTGATAGAGTACTGTTCTCAGAAATACTAGCAATAAAAATGACAAAGTTAACAAAATTAAAAAAAAAAAAAAAACGAATATCTGCAAAATATAAGAAAAGACATTTGTTATTTCTTTGAAAAAAAAATAATATAATATGCTATCATGTCACCTTGAGTGACATTTAGGTTTTTTTAACAAAATAAGATTTCCCATATGTTTATTAGAAAAAAATAATTCTAAAACTTTCAGCCACATGATATCGCAAGGATATTCACTTTTGAGATGTGCTTTTGGTACCTCTGTACAATCCTTCTTTTAGGTAAGCACGATCACAACTGACTGTTTTCAGTAAATGACAGCCTTATACGTGCATGGTTTACTTATTTTTGCCATTTTTATACTGCTTGATCTCATCCAAATTTGGTTGGAAGATACAATTTGAAATTAAAATAAAACTGCAAACAAAATTTAAACTGAATAATGGCAATTTACATTCTGTAATTTTTTAAAGTTTAACAATTAATTTTGATAATTGAATGATCATCAGTCAGGTCGAATATGTAAGATAAATAGTCAAAATACTTAGTAGATGCTGTTGTATGTAATGCCCATTTAGCTTTGAAAACAATTCCAAGACGAGTTTTGATTTAGTTTTTGCTTGCCTGGTTCTATGTAAATTATAATACAAAGTAATTAATAAGCAGTGCTATAAGTGGGATTTATTGAAGGAGAAATTTTAATTTAGGGCGTTTTTTTTCCAATTACAAAACATGTATTATTTCCAGTCCCACAGAATCATAATACAAACTAAATGGAGGGGGTCATTGTTATTACAAGACATACTTGTATTTGGATTTTCTTGGTTCGAGTCTTCAAGTTTAGGTAAATCGCGATAAAATGTAATTCATAACCTGTCGTATGGCTGGGACGGTTGGAAGAATAGGAATATGATATTTTTTTTCTCAGCCAATAATTGGAGTTGTATTATGCAAAACACAAATATGTCGTGCTGATCGTCTTTAGATTGATCTAACGGCCCCATAGTAGGCTGTTCATCCATGAGACATTGAACACATAAATGATTCCAAAGCAAGTGCCTGGATAATCTCACCCTAAGGGTCACGTGTGGAGCTTAGACTTAATTATTGACTCAAGTAGTTTGATAACCTCAATAAAAACGTTATAGCCACAAGGCACACAGCAAAATGTGCTTAAGATTAGTCTGGGTTCTTGTGACATTTGATAATTACTGCAACATCCACAGTAAAACCAATTTCTCTTACTCCTTGTCAAGAGGTTTCAAAATAAAAAGACACCAACACGTACTTGCGCCCTCTTGTGTTGGGTCTTCCATGGGTCTGATTACTGCATGGCCAAAAAACGCAACAAGACGCCAATACATTCAGAGTAGACTGGCACAGTCTGGGCGATCATGGATTTATTTCTTTTTAAATTTAAAATTAAATAACAAAACAATAGCGAAATGAAGGTGTTAACGCGAAATCCCCTGTAACCGCGAAATCACCCCCACCTTTCGCAAAACTATTTTTTCCAATCACCGCAGCTGGGCCAGTCTGCATTCAGGGGTGACTCACAGTGTACACTGAGAGATTATTACACAGACCAGTTCATACACAGATGCAAGGGACAAGTTCAAATAAAATATATAAATATACTGAGCGCTTTTAGACTGCACATCGTAAAGTCTATGTCAGATATTATACTAAAGCACTTCTTGACACTCCAAAAAGTTGCACTTGTTACGTAAATCAATTTGCCAATTTAGTGTGTTTCTAGCATTTCTGAGTGCAATACAAACAGGGACTCTCCCAATGTTTGTTTTCAATTCCTTTAACTGTAGTATACGTCACATTCTTGCCTGCACGCGTCCTTCATTTTTGTCCATAAACTGTGTTTATTGTTTTTCGATTTCTGCCAGTAATTTGTGTACCCTGTAAATTTACGTATGTACCTACGAATGGCGCTGGTGTAAGACTGTAATCGACATGCACGGGTCGCTATTTTGGCAACACTGGCGTGACCAATACAGCATTGATTTGAATTGGAAAATACAAAAGCATAAAATTACTCTTTGTTTCAAAGTAGCAATATTTTGTGAGATGATGTACTACGATGATAAATCACCGGGGATTAGATTTAACACGGAAGGGATTCAACATCATACGCAATGAAATTACTATTTCGTACAGAATAACGGAGTTCGGGAGTTCAGCTAACTTTGGTCTGGAGGAGGGGGGCAATACATAGAACTTGTCTAATGGGGACGTGCCCTTGAAATGGGAATTTTTTTTTTTTTAATTTAGGTATAAGTATCGGTTTTATTTCTGGTCAAGAAGGTATAAATATCGGTAGTGACAGAGATGTTTCTATGGTTAAAACACATATTTTAATAAATCAATATACAATGCAACTATTGGCTTACATGTGCTTCTATTGGAGATGCTCTTCTAATAGAAGCAAATACGGTAACTGTTTTATTTTTCGAATAAACAATGGTGACAGAAATGGTACTTTGGTATAAATATGGGTATAGATTTTGCCACTACCCAGGTATAAAAATGGTCACACTTTTGAGCACTCAGAGGCACCTTCCTACCCAGCTATTTATCAACTCCCCGGGCCATTGGTGCGTGAGAATAACGGAGTTCTGGAATTCAGCTACTTCAGGTACGTAAGATAGTAGCAAATACCTACATAGTGTCGTAAAATATGTACCATCAACACCTACCTGTTACCGATATGCCATAGTACATTACTTCAATTGTGTTACCAAAATAGATAGTCATAACTCGTGGAGGACACATTTCCCTATATTTCAAAACGTCGAATCAGACAAGCATACTTGGAAAAAAAAATAGGCTAAAATATCATTATATATCTGGAAAGTGGCCTCAAAATAAAAATGTTTGCATAATTTTTGTTCATTTCAGACCCTATTTCTTATAGTGTAAATACCACAATCGTTGTTGTAATTTTAAACGCCAAATTCATAACCAGGAAACGGACTATATTATGTCATGACGTTAGTGTTTTATACGAACTACTCAACCAGGCAACAATATAAGCATATTAACTTTATTTAAACAGTTAAGAACAGGTTGGTTGTATTTTAGTGAAAGACGGTCATTTTATCATTCTTTTACTGGTATTGCTTTAAATATTGAAATGGTGACATTTTAGGAGCGTCCTATATACACAGTAAATTTGTACGAATTTTATATCTTTTCATACCCGCTTAGAATATGGTGGGATATTCAATATGCAAATTTCCAACAGCTGTAGGCAGAATAACAACAAACACTTAACAATTTTCGAACGGATATTACAATGTTAAAATAGCAATTGATACTGAAGAAGATGATAGTTTTTAAACATTTTTTTGGTACGTAGTATGTTTACTGACATAGAGTGACAAAACTGTATATCATGAATTATTTTAAATAGTTTTAACTAGTACAGAATTGTTCTAAAAGTAGCAATAATTCGATATTAGGACATACGCGCCATGCAAGGTGTCAACATGATTTAAGGCAATATATTCCGATTGGAATACAAAACAATATAATTTCAATCGGTATACATGTAAATATAAACCAATCAATCGATCGGTATACCCCGAGATGTGTCTCCTACCTGGAATTCTAAGGTAACATGCACTAAAACACCGCGTAAATTAAGTCGAGGGTGCAATACTAGTGAATTTGGAAATTTCAGAAAAAGTGTTTTTTTTTCACAAAGAAATAGGAAAACGATATGATCTCGTTTTTTCCTGAGTATGATTCTGCATTAAACAACTCGTTTCTATTCACTTGGTGACAGAACAAGGAACAATAACTAAATGCATAGCAATGTATGGGGTATCATATTGTTTTGGGGTACTGACGTTGCTGCTAGTGTAACCCCACGGATTGCACCAGTGCGTCATGGGAAATGTAGTTTGCATGGCCCGCCTCGATGTTTACTTGGTACACACCAGTTATCATTGCAGCTGAAGGTGTAAATTCCGTAAGCTGACGTCATGCATTACGCTATTATCCGATTTCAAAGGACCCATTCACGGGACCCATGAAATCTTTTGAAAGCAGTTTTCATGGGGGCTCCTTATTTAGTTCCGTGCTTGCACGAAACAGCACATCGTCATGAATAACAATCCATATCAAAACAGAAATGTAGCTAGTTAGCAGTCTACCTGACTGTATTTCAACATTACTTGGCAAATACGACAAACGTTCAGGATGGCAAGAAGCTTCATCCTAAAAATGCTCGATCCGTTCGAGTGACACTTGATTGTTATCTATTATCATAAAACCCAGCATGGTACATCCAATACAATGAAATATAGTTTTTAAATTTCTATAGCACTGACTTGTTACAATGGCAAGTCTGAGTCTGCTATAAACTCCGTAATGTCGGACGTACTTTATGTACACAAATTAGATAAACGCGATATCGTTAACATTTGATTGAAGTACGCCTCGGAACAGTTAATTGTTCCATGCTTGTTCATTACATTACACAAATCAGATATGAATATATCAGACTCGACAGTCTAATCAGATAACAAAATTAATATGCAACTTCCACAAATTACAAAACCTAATACCGGTTATGACAACACAAACTTATTAACATTGCATGCTGTTCTGTATTCATAATCAATCCGAAAAAGAAAAAAAAAGGTTTAAATGAAATAAACACTTGAGGGCGCTACAAACTTAAAAAAGCACCCATAGTTATTTGTCCAGAGTACAAAACATTACTTCAGAATGCACTAAACATAATATACCTTCACAAATTTTAAGACAAATATGTTAGTTGTATAGTTAAACAAGCATAATATTCATAAAAATTCGAGAATTGGAAATATCACTACGAAATGAACAAATCTGAGAGAGGTCCACCCGAGGTGCCTACAGGTGTAATATCAAAGCAATTGGACTTGAGGTTTTCAACAAGTCGAAAAAGTAAAAAATTGCTGTGGATCACTCGTATGATAAGCTTTGTCTGACAAAGTTGACAGCAAGGCTTATAAAACTGAAATGAGTCGACCATTTTGAGTCAGAAACAAATTACATGATGCATAATACAAGTTTGATTGCAATCAGTCAATGCATGTCATGTCATGTCAGAGACATGGCTTGAGAACATTTGCATTCAAGCAACAACAATTATGGTTCAGTTAAATATACATGTATATACCCGTATGTTTATTGTATCTACCAAGACAAAAACTATCCATGTATAACAAATATCAGGCGCCAGAATTGTAAAAAGTGCTTGATTTTAATGAATTTTAAGTATAAAAATGGTTAATTATACAGGTACAACAAGATGAAAGGATGTATACATGTAACACAAGAAATGTGCTAAGTTTGAATGACATTGGCCCAGGGAATTTACAGGTATATCACAATAGGAACTAAAAATCAGCCTAAGCATGCCTAACATCAGTTGACATAAAAGTTTTGCAAGATGGTCGAATAAATGAACCTTGGCTGGCAAAGATCTTTGTTTTTGGTGGAGGGCTTAAACTTGGTCACTAAAATCTTTCCACGAGCGCAGCACATCAAAACAAAATATTACCCAAGTTGGTGGTGGTGTGCTTGATAATTGGACAACTAATTTTTTCAGTGCGAACACAACCAACAAGAACAAAACGGTACACGTGATGTTATACTGACAGAAAACATCACTCAACACTGAAACCCAGTCACTGCATTGCTTTATACTGTGAACTTGTATTACGGTAACTTCTCTTTTCACTTGAAAAATGTTGCTATAGAGAAAGCAGGATTATTTTCTGCAATGAACATTAAATAACAAACACTAATAAAATCTATTTAAATAGGGATTTATTGGCAATCGGTACACAGCATACACCAATATTATTGTCAGATTTCCAATTCATTATTTGCAATCAAATCAGCACATTGCCAAGGTGATATACTATAGTAACTATTCATAATAGCACACACTCATAAATACATTTTTTTTCAACTTTTCATAATAATATGCTAAGAAAGCTAACATTTTTTTTTTATCGAATTACACTCAATTATTTGTTTTTTCACACAAGCTGCACATTTAACAAGTTGTATTCCAAATATATTACTGAGCCAAACTACCTTTGTGATACCAAATGATAAAAAATAAGGCCTGTATATTGATTCTAATAGCTAGAAATGAATGGTTTTAAAACAAAGTACAAGTTTTACTACATATTTGGTAACACAAAGGTCATGGCTTCAACAAAGCCTTTCATCATGCGTGGAAAGTTATTCTGCATTTACAAAATAAACGTTTTAGATTTAAATTACAAATTGTTGCCAATGGTGATGAAATTCATAATAACTGAGTTTTAAGACCATGCATAATTGAAATGCATCTTGAATCAAGACTGACTTTGTTGTTACATCAATGCCTATTGCAAGTCTATGCATAATAAGAATTCAACTATTGGCTACTATCAACTGATTTTCAAAACAAATGCAGTAAAGCTTTAATAAAATTTAAAACAATTCTAGGTATATTCAATGAATCAAAGACACTTTTGGTATCTTGGTAAGTGGTATCTTCTCGTGACAAAGCACTTTAGATGGATCAAAACAATAACTTTGGTTGTGTAGGAGTTGCATTTAAAAATTCTCTACAGATCAAAACAGAGGCTGATGCCACAGAAGCGATTTGTCGCCAGAATCAGGACTTTAGGTTCATTTTATTTCCAGTATTGATGACAAAATGCCTAAGATGTAAAGGGTTTATAAGATGCATCGTTTCAAAGCATTATTACATGACAAATGGGACTGCAGCTAAATTTCTCAAGATTATTTACATTAAATGTTCGCAGTAGGTATGAACTAAATGTTCGCAGTAGGTATGAACTAAATGTCTGAATTTTGAGGCGAGAAGACAACACTGCACAACATTTCAGATTATCACAGATGTTCAAGAAATTTAGTAAATGAAAAACAATCCATTGACAACCTGTAGAGAAATAACTGTGGTTGTCAGCATGGTTAAAATTACAATGGTTTACAAAAGATAGATTAACTTTGTAACATAAACAATAGTGTCCCATGATTCTTTGGTGCAATCCATGGGATTGAGCGGTTCCCTTTTAAGAATATTACAATTAAACAGTTATAAAGTAAAATTACAGAAACTGAATAATTTGATCAAGGTAACTGGCAAAATGTAGGATTATGCAGATAAAAGAAAAACGATTTATTTTGCATATATGCCGAATTATTCAAAATATTTAGAAATACTGGTTCCTACAATTCTATTGTGACCATAGTGAAAATAAAGCTAAAAAGTCACAAATTATGCAATGCTCAGTATTTTGTAGTCTGGACTGATGAAAGAATTCTGACGAGATTTGTGGTTGCACCAGACCCTATGGTAATCTGGGCTCAGATCATTTAACAGTCGAATAGTGGTGGATATAACATAGTATAAACATAATCATTCACTGGGTTTTAATTTCGCTATTTTCACTGATAAGAAATTAAATTCACATGTCAAATTAGAATAGAATGCATCTTTTCACCAGTAAATTTTTAAACTTAAAACCCAGTGAATATGCTCAAATGATTAGTGAAATGAAATGCCAGTAGAAATAAATGGTTTTACGATTCGTACAATACCAGGCAAAACATAGATGAGTTAGTTCCCCTAACTAGCCCAGTCTTGAGTTCATTTGATTACACAGGTTCAAACTTAAATGAAAATGTCAATAGATAGATTTACTGTCATTGGCATACTAAATCAAGCAGAAAAATGTCCCGGTTCTTGAGAAAGTGAGATGACAGGTAAAAACTTGAGCAGCATCCACGAAAAAGCAACATTAAGTTTTAACAGCCACTGATGTTTTTTCCAGGAATTTTCATATTAAAATACTATTTTTTAAGAGAGTATTAAGGAAGTTATAAAAGTACTGCAGCATATTGTAGGTAGTCAGGTCTGTGATTTAAACGTGTAGTCAATAGTCTGTGGGTTATTTTTGAAGAAAGCAAATTTCAAGCACACAAACACATTTGATATCAAAATCTACTCTTCCTGTTGTTCTGTAACTTTGGCTAGCAGAGCATCACACGTCTTCTTTGCATCACCGAGCAACATGGCTGTGTTAGGTTTGTAGAAGATTGGGTTATCTACTGCAGCGTATCCTACCCCAAGGGTTCTCTTCATAACGATGACTTGTTTGGCTAACCACACACGCAATACAGGCATACCGGCGATGATCGAATTGGGGTCTTCTTCAGCTGCTGAGTTGACAGTATCATTGGCACCAATTACCAACACTAAATCTGTTTCTGGAAAATCACTGTTGAGCTCGTCCATTTCCTGTACTATGTCATAGGGTACACCGGCTTCAGCAAGAAGGACGTTCAGCTGACCTGGCATACGACCGGCGACTGGATGGATACCGAACCTTACATTCTTTCCCATTTCGGTCAACTTCTGAACCATATCAGCAATTGGATACTGTGCCTTAGCAACACACAAACCGTAACCAGGTGTAATGATGATGTTTTGTGCTTCGTTGATGTAATCTACTGCTTCAGGTACCTTTATTTCAGTGTGTATACCAGACACTTCCTTAGCCTTGCCACCTGCATGACTACGTGTTCCATATCCACCAAAAATGACATTGGACAAAGAACGATTCATAGCCTCACACATGATGTAAGATAGGATAGCACCAGATGATCCGATGAGAGCTCCAACAATCGTTAAAAGTGGGTTATTCAACATAAATCCCTCAGCACACAAAGCCCACCCACTGTAGCTGTTGAGAACTGTGATAACGACAGGCATGTCAGCTCCACCAATGGCAGCAGTCAGAGTGACACCCATCACACATGAGAGAGCAGTTGTAGTGCCTAACATAGCCATATCCATGTTGTAACCAGGATCTGTCATATAGTAGGCCATTGCAGCAACATTGGTAAGCGCCATGCCAAGGTTCAGAGCATTACGTCCAGGCAAAAGAAGAGGGTCAGATTTGAGGAGTCCCTGAAGTTTACCAAATGCCACAAGTGAACCAGTGAAAGTGACACCACCAATATATGTACCAAAAAAGAGGAAAGCTTTTGTGATGGCTGCCGCTGGATTGTCAGCAAAAGTAGCCGCCTCACTCATGTATGTCGCAACACACGTCAGTACAGCAGCAGCTCCAACAAAACTATGGAAAGCTGCTACAAGCTGTGGGAGATCAGTGATGGCCATCTTCTTTGCAATTATTGTACCAATCAAAGCACCGCCTGCGACACAGAGTCCCATCTGGGTATACAGCTCCGGTGAACAGTTCAGCAGAACCAGTGTTGTCAACATACCACCACCGACGCCAATCATTCCCAAAGCATTACCCCGTCTAGCAGTTGCTTGGGTTGAGAGACCACCAAGAGCTCCCACGCAGCACAGTGATGAAGCCAAGTAAGACAGAGCATGGACATTGGAATAGCCAGCATAGGTAGCACCAAGATAAGCAGCCATGAATGCAGCAGCAGGAATACCATATAAACTGTTATATTCATTAGGATCTGTGGGTCTACGGAACATGTCTAACATACGCTGTGTCACTAAAAAGCCACCGAAGATGTTGATAGAAGAAATAAAGCAAGCCGTTGCTGCCATGGCAGCGGGAACAGAATCAGGTAAGTAACCGCCACTCATACATAGCATACCACCAACAGCAGTAATCCCAGAGATGGCATTGGTCACAGACATTAGTGGAGAATGAAGTGCTGGGACCACACCCCAGACAGTATGGTAACCTACAATGACAGACAAACCAAAAGTAGTGGCCATAGTATTGAATGCCAGATTTGGTGAAATCATACCAGCTCCAATCAAACTCATCAAGCCTGTTGCGTAAAGACCTGTGCTCTTTAATGTCTTGCTAAATGGATCTTCAACGACTTTGACGGCCGTTTCCGGTTGCGCACTTGCTACTGGAGGTGGTTGTGAAAGCTCTTTTGGTAGCGGTGCAGGCCACATCATCTCACCTTCATTGAGGATTATTGAACCTCTGGTGACTTCGTCTTCGAAATCCAGGAAATATCTGCCTTCTGTCTTTGATGGAGTGAAAGAAAGCAAGAGCTTAGAAATATTATTGCCATACAATGTACTTGACTGAGTTGGTAGTTGACTTGGCAGATCTGTGTAGCCAATGTGTGTCACTCCATTGTAGATGTACTTCTTCCCTGGTTTTGTTGTTTGTATGTTTCCACCAGCTTCTGCTGCGAGATCAACAACCACTGAACCGTCTTTCATACTATCCACCATTTCTTTGGTAATAAGAATGGGCGCAGTTTTACCAGGAATCAACGCTGTACTAATAACGACATCAACTTCACGACACTGTTTTGCAAACATCTTCTGCTGTGCATCTTTAAACGCATCAGACATTTCTTTTGCATACCCGCCTGTCCCTTCACCTTCTTCTTTGACCTCTTTTACTTCCAGGAACTCTGCCCCCATAGATTGAATTTGTTCTTTCACACTGGATCTAACATCAGATGCCCTAACTATTGCTCCCATGCTCTTTGCTGTGCCAATAGACGATAAACCAGCGACACCAGCACCAAGCACCAAAACTTTAGCAGGTGGAACTTTTCCTGCAGCAGTGATTTGACCTGTAAAAAATCTACCAAAATTATTAGCAGCCTCAATAACTGCTTTGTAACCAGAGATGTTATCCATGGAACTACGTGCATCAAAAACTTGTGCACGACTGATACGAGGAACACAGTCCATCCCAAATACAGTCGCCTTTTTTGCGGCTAATTTTTGAACAAGTTCCTCATTTTGTGCAGGGTAGATAAAGCTTAGCAAATGTGCTTTGTCTTTTAACTTTTCTACTTCTTCTAGTGTTGGGGCTCGTACTTTTAGTACAATGTCAGATTTGAAAGTATCGGAAATATTCTTGATAAGTGCCCCAGCAGCTTCATAGTCTGCATTGGAGAATTTAGCTTCTTTGCCGGCACCATCTTCAATTACAACGTTAAAGCCTTTCTTGACGAGAGTCTGTACAGCCGCAGGAGATAACGCCACTCTGCGTTCATTCGGAAAGATTTCTTTTGGTACACCGATGGTCAGTTTTTCATAGGGGGTTCCCTTCAGTGGCTTTTCAACTTGCTGTTCTTGGAATCGTGGCAAGAAGGTTCTGAAACCACGCTTACGTTGCTGAGAGAAGATCCCTCGCACAGACGGTACAACCACGCTATCAACGTGTGCAGAGCATAGCAGACGGAACATGATGAGTGCGTTTCAATCTGGAGTCCTGTTTGAAAAGAAAACAAATATTTTAATATTTCAAAGTGTCGCCAAATTAACTATTCTAAAAAAATTATATCGGTCATGAAATCTATAAATTTATATATATTTGTAAAGTTCAAACTACATCTATTTGAATAGAATTATTAGTAACAGAAATGATGATTTTTAATAATCTAACTGTGTGCTGACTGGTATTTACAGTGAACATACCATATTTAAGACCCCAGTACCTTTCTCGGCAGGTTCCACAAGCTAGAATTTTCATAAAAACGATCTAAACCATGTTTAAGAATGTAAATTAGCCACCATGCTAGCACATGAAATGGTTGGAAATTATCTTCATTTGGTCCGAAATTACAAAAAAGCAGATAAAAACGTGCAAAAAGATGTACCAAAATTAAGAAAAAATCAAAAAAAGCTTAGAAAGAACTCCCATGTGCTGAGAGTTTTGCAGACATATTAAATATAATTTGAAATTACTTAGCTGAAAACTAATTATGCAAATCAGAAAATTAACATGAACAGATTTGATTGTAAAACTAATGAGGTCTGCACAATGTAACAAAAACTCTATGTACCAAGTTTAAGTGAAATGTGATTAGAACAAAAAATTATGAATTATTATGCTAATTAGGGAAATAATATGAACAGAGTTTTACCCCAAACTAATTAGGTTTGTACATTGTCCTAGAGCATCTTTGTACTAAGGTTCATTAAAATGGAAATTAGTACTTTAGATATCAGTGTGAAAGCTTAAAATTGGTTAATTATGCAAATTACGTAATTAATATGTACAGATTTTAACCCACAATTATCCAGGTCTGTCTATTGTCCTACAGCATCCATGTATAAACATTCATTGATATGTGATGATTAGTACCTGAGATATCAGTGTGAAAGTTG